TTAGCAAGGTGTCCATTTCATACTATAAACAATCTCAAACTGTAAACAAAGAGAGCCTTGTAGGCATAACAGCTGTACTGCAGCAGGAAAAGTTGCTTGCCATCAGATTTTAAAAAAAGACCTGCTCATTAAAACAGACTGGGGGAGCAGGGAACAACTCAGATGTGAGAGCAAGTCACCATTTTAAATTTTCTCCTATTATAATGGAGAAAACAACAATTTTTGTATATATACAGAGCAGTTTGACAAGAAGCACTATACTTGAAATCCAGTTTGCCTCTGGGCCATATACATTTAGAATGAGGTAAAGCTAAATGTGTTCTTTCCTTGTGATGTGATCAGTCTTTATTTCTAACTCGTACTTACTAATAGCATGAGACAGTTATGGTTCTGAGTATGTCATGATCAAACAGTGCAATAATAAATCCTTGAGTTACCTGCATAGTAATTTATTGGGCTGCTAAAGTTATCACAAATGTGCAGTAATCTGAAGCTGAGTGTAAAAGATGAATGTGTCTCTTCATTAATGTCATGTATTTCTATCTTCTGTGTGCTCCTTGGACTGCTGTAGTCTTGATGGGTGAGGCATTTGAAATTTGTTAAATAAAGTCTTGTTAAATCTAACATAGATGGGGTGGTAATGTTTATTTTATTGCATATACTCTGCAATATATATTATTGCATATATCTATTAGAAATAAACATTCTTAAATTTTAAAAAAGTAAAATGTATCTAACTAAAATGTAGAAACTTCCTATTCTGACAGCCAGATCTAGACTTCAGGTTTTTAGAGCCCAATGACTACTGATGTTCCTCCATGGAACTATACAGTAATCATTTCAGCTCTTTATTTAGTACAAATATTTGCTAAATTATATTGGTATGATCTGCTGAAATTCAGTTTTGAGGTTGAGTAAGGTGTGGAAGTAGGCTGAGCATTCTTTCAAAACAAAAGTAGCTTCCTACAACCAGGGTGGAAGCATTTGTACTAGTTAAAGTACCCATCAACCACTAACTATTCATATGGGCCTGCATCATGGAAGCATTTGTACTAAAGTACCCATCAACCACTAACTATTCATATGGGCCTGCATCATCTTAAATTACTTAAACTTGTGAAAACAGGCCTATATTCAGATTAAGGACCCACCCGTGTTTTTAAAACAAGTTACTAAAACCTTTACCCTAACCAACATAATAGCAATGAAGGCGTGTGTGTGTGTGTGTGTGTGTGAATATGGCAGAAAGTTTAAAAAATGCCAAGAAAGGTGGTTAGTGCTGAAGTATCATACTTCACAAATTTAGTAACTGTAATCTACTTCAGGTAATAAACTTGTGCTAGTTTTCCTTTGCATGTAGTTACGTTGTATGGAAAATCCAAACCCTGGGGAGGAAAAGGGTTAGTAGCAGCCTGGTTATTTGTCCTTTGGCCTTTGTCACAAGGACAGTTCATGGATTCCTAGGGCATATTCCCTGCATTTTCACAGAACTGGTCTGTAGGGATTAGGGAACAAGCACTGAAGTTCATTTACAGGTAGACAAATGTAGGCTGGTGAATGAAACAACCTGAAGTTCAGAAAAGAGCAACTGAAATGACTAGTTCTTTCCTTAGGGGCGCACACAGAAAGAGGTTCTGAAAACTACTTCAGCTAGGTAGTAACACAGAAGCCCAGGCTATTATCTCACCCCTGATGAAAAAGATTTGTTTTCTATGGAGTGTTTTCCAGCCATGATCCAATGGCATGAGTTGGGACAAAATAGGAGTAGAGGTTATTACAGGACTATAGAAAAGTGTTGCCACAGGATTTGTTCTTGCTGTCAGTATATACAATATACTGTTCAACTATTACAGTAAGAATATGAAGTCACAGGTGTCCACACTTAAAGTTGCATTAGACATCTTGTAAAAGTGAAAACAGAATCTAAGTACTTCTGTTCTACATGCAATAGATTTTCCACTGCATGTTTCTTTGGTGTTTGAGTAAGTTTTTTTGCAACTATATCCACACACACACACACACACCGTTACAGAATTGCACTGCATGGAAAAACCTGAGATTTCTTAGTGGGAAATAAATGACTAGAAGGAAAAAATATTTTATTGTTTTCTACTACTGCTAACAGCTCTGTAAAGACTTTATTACTATTTTACAAGCAAATTCTGTTTTGAAATTACTTTTTAAGCTTACAAGGATTCAGAAATTCAAGAGTCTTGATTTTAAAATAGCAAAATTCATCTAAACAAAGGCTGCAAATGAGTTTATACATCCAGATCTGTCTAATTCAGAGGTAAGTGTCTCAATCAGACTTAAAGGGGACAAGTGCAGTTTAATTACTTCTTAGCAAATGAAATTAAATTTTAAAATATAAGCAGCATGTGATATGTTGACAATTTTTGAAGTGAGTAGTTTCCAGAAACCATGACTGCATTGCACAAAGTAACATGAAGGCTACTTTTTCTAATGGTGGTACAGGAAAAAAAACATACTTTACTTTAAAAAGGAAAGAATAAGGTGATATGATCATTTGAATAGTAGAATTGTGTCTCTTGCTATATCATTAAATAGCAACAAATGACTGCAACAAGTAATCAGACCATCAGTAGATCCCTGCACCGATGCCAAATTTGTATCCAAGCTGTATCCACAAATATGAGTAGTGGTTATCTGCAGATGTGGGTACCCAAGGATATAAAGTGAATATCCATGGATATGCAGGGCTCTACCCAGAGAAAATGGATTTTATAAATAATGGGAAAGGGAATAAAACCAAAAATGTTTCCTTTTAAAAAAATGTTCAGCTAGAACATCAATCCCATAAAGGCCTCCATGTTTTAGCAGCTCACAAATCACAGGAGACTAGGGCTGTACTGTTGAGTCATCAATGCAACATGCCTCTTCTAACTTCAATTGTTTTAAAATATTTCATTTATCCATAAAATCCATTCTTCAGTAGTAGCACCAGAAGGCAATTTCAATTAAAGTCAAAACACTTCCACAACTAAAATGAAATATAAATTCTGCTTGATAAGTTGATTTTATAGTTACTTATGGATCCATTTCAGGGATATGAGGCTCCCTATTTTGCCTCTGCACAAACTACCTGTATCATGGGCCACAGCAAGAGAGAATGAAGCTTCCTAGCCAGGTAGGCACTGGGAGGAGCATTGGCTTCCCACTCCAGTGAGCCAGCCAGAAGCGCTGAGGAGGAGGAAAGGTGATGTAAGATGAATTAGAAGGCTGGTGTAGCTTACATCTCCCATGCAGTGAAGAGGAAGCAGGGGACCATACTGCAACTTTTAATCACAATATGGCATCAGTTCCCAGGTTAGTGCAGTTACATGCTGCCCATTACTCAGAGCATCTTGCAAGCAGCCAGTCTAGCCCTAAGTCAAAATCTCTTGAGGCACACACAATAGCTTGTTTGGAACCCAGTCTTGGGCACTCTATTGCATGGTATATGTACATACTAAACTCCATATTTGATAGGAACATTTTCATATAGTAATAAAATATTTAAGAAGCAATTTTCAACTGATTATTAAAAAGGACAAAAGTTAAAATTGCATTATTGACAGATCCTCAGTTCTTTGCATTTCCCTCAGTTTGGAGGGTGAAGGTAAACTAGTTTATTTATAGTCCATTTCACTTGCTTTATGCCACAGTTTTCTCTTTACCCAATACTACAGAGGAACATCCAGATAAAGATACTGAAATTATTTCTATTTCATTTGGCAATTAAAAAAAACCTGGATATTGGGTCTAAAACTACTTGTAAGAGCTCATTCAGGTAAATCTCCCTTAAGCTATGTCTACACTGTAGCCTTCTGGAAAAGCTTATGCAAGTGAAGCATGGAGTGGAATTTTGCTGCACTTCATTTGCATTATTAGCCATTTTTGCACAAAAGGCTGTGTGCAAAAAGGAGCTTTGTAGATGGATCCTTTTTGTGCAAGAGGATTTTTTGCACAAAAAGGGCTGATAATTAATTATGCAAATGAAGCACTGCAATATTCCACTCTGCTTCATTTGCATAAGCTTTTTTGGAAGAAGGCTACAGTGTAGATGTAGCCTTATTGTGACTTCACAGTAATACTTCTGCAGTGCAAGAGCAATGTAGCACATTAAGTGTTTGGAATTTATTGCAAAGATCATAACTAAGCTTTTTTCCCCCTGTTCATATCAAAATAGTTAATATGCATCCCATAGCAAGTAGCTTAGATCTACACATTTCTTGGCTTGATGAATTATAGACATTGCAGCAGTTTGTAGAAACAAGCCATATTCACTTGTGGACAAACATCAAAGGGAAGAGCACTTTAAAATGGTATCTGCTATGAGTCATGCAACAGAGTCAAAGATATAGGTCACTTCCATATTAAGTCTGTTAGTTTAATGTAAGAATCAAATGACTAGCTGGTACACTTGGTCTGCAGAATTATAGTGTAAGGACTTCAGGAATGTATATGAGGTTCTGCAGGAGCGGAGAACCCACTACAGTTAGTTTTTAGTAGTTGATGTGTCTGCTAATACAGGGTCTGATCCAGCATATCCAAGTCCATGGAAGCCTTGCCACCCACTTCAAAGGGCTTTGGATCATGCCCATAGACTGAAACTGTGGTTCTGCTGAAGTTAATGACAAAACTTCCATTGACTTCAGGGGACTAAGGATTTCTAGAGCTCTGTAAATCTACAGCTATCTGCTTTATATCCTCAGATGTGGATATTCACAAGTCATTTTGTACAAATATTAACTTTCCTTTGTTTGATACAAAATTTGCATCTAAACCTCTGCAAAAATCTGCATCTGTAGCTGTCACTCATTTTTTGCAGCTATGGATACCAATTTTATATCAGAACTAAGGATTTCACCCAAGTCTACAGTAGTGTTTCAATTTTTTATATCAGGACTAAGGATTTCACCCAAGTCTACAGTAGTGTTTCAATTTTTTTTACGAAGTACCCCCCTTTAAAAAAAAAGTACCCTCAGTGCCTACAGTTTGACAATTTTTTTTCCCCTACCATTGCAACTCATTTGTTTAAACAACTTAATAGCTGGATGGGTGATGAAATTTTTGGGTGTAAAAAGTACAAAAATAATAAAAGCATTAAAACAAACAAATATTCAGTTCTTTCCAAGTTTCAGGTGTGTTGATGTACCCTTCAGACTTCTCTCAAGTACCCTAAGGCTATGTCTACACTTCCCCTGTCTTTTGCAAATTTGCAAGTGAGGTGAAGAATGGAATATTGTCATGCCTCATTTGCATAATTAATTAGGCTCCATTTTTGTGCAAGAGGGGGTTTTTGTGAAAAAGGAGCCATATAAACAGCTCCTTTTTGAGCAAAAGCCTCTTGCGCAAAACTGGACCTTAATTAATTATGCAAATGAGGCATGGCACTATCCACACTTTTCCTCATTTGCATATTTTTGCGCAAAATGGGGGTAGTGTAGACATAGCCAAAGGGTACTCATACCATTGGTTGAGAAACACTGGTCTACAGCACTCTCAAACATTCCAGTAGGGTCAGTTGCTAGCCAACTAGGAGAGGGCGCTTTTAAATGATGCTCAGTATCCAGACAACCCCTGGAAGTACTCATCTGAAGAAGTGGGTTGTACCCATGAAAGCTCATGATACCATCTACAGGTTTAGTTAGTTTTTAAGGTACTGCAAGACTATTTGTTGCTTTTCAAGTTTTTTCAGAAGAAATTATATTGAAGTAGCAACAGATAAATACTGGGCACTCAGTTTGTATCAAATGAGGTATCACGTGATGGGACACATTATGCTTCAGAGAATAAATGAGGATTCCATTTTAATTTAGTGTTTGGCATGAACTGGGTTTACCAAGTAAGTCCCAAAAGGCTGAACTGTAAAGATACTAAGATGTATGTTCTAAACAGTTTCCTTATTGTAAATGGTTATGTTACCACTTACAGGAGTTTTCAGATACCATTTTAATAATGTTCTTAAGGGAAGGGAAGTAAAAAAATGCAAGAAGAGATCAGGTTGAACCTTTCTAGTTCGACACCTTGGGACCTGACCAATGCTGAACCAGAGAATTTGCCGAAGCACGGGAGGTCAATATTGTCTAGCAGCATTACCGACCCTTTCACTGCTTATTGGGCTCTTAGACATTTTTTGGCCAATTATAGCTAAATACCAGCACAGAACACAGAGCCAGGACTAGTGGCTATAAACAAACTTTATTGAGACTGGGGGATGCTTGGCCACACCCATGATAAGTGAACATCTGGCTAACTGAAAACATGTCAGACCACAGATGTTGCCAGACCAGAAAGTGCTGGACTAGAAAGACTCAACCTGTATTGACATGAGTCCAAACAGGGTAACTGCTGTTGCACAGCACTTTTAAAAGCTATATGACTTTTTAAAATAGAGGATTTTTCATGGGCTTGAAGCAGGAGGTTTGAAGATACCAATCTTACGTAAATATCGGACAAGGAATGGCACAGAAACTAAAGTAATGCTGATTCGGACCGGAGCAAACACTTTGTGAATAGCATAAGCCAACACAAATGTGCTTGTACCAGCAGCCATTTTGGATTGCACCAATGCTTCACTGAATCCAAGCTTTAAGAGAACTGCAGTCATGTCCACGCCACTGGGGAGGAAAAAAAAAAATTGTAATTTTTTAAAAAGGAATTTCAGAAAGTGGTACCAAATCCCTTAGGTCAGTAAAGAGATCTTTTGTCTCACTTAGGACAATCTGGGTATGCATGCTCTTGTTCCCCAACTAAACACCTACCTTTAGTTATAGCTGAACAGTAGTAAAGTTTACGTCATCACTTAAAAAGCAGTTTAACTATGTGCCAGATTCTGATCTAACACAATGGATGAGTTTTTAAAAATGGAGCCACTCTCTCTAACATTAGATGCCAGTTTTTTCTGAAGATTCAAGAGGCCGATGGTATTTGACAGTTCCTTTTTTTATGTAAATCACAATCCTGAAGAACAGATGCATTAAGAAATTAAAATGACAATACACTAAACTGTGATTTACTTAGAGGCACTATCAACTAGAAGTCTAATCAATTAAACTGTAATGTGAGATATTACATTGATCTCTGTGCCCTACCATAACTCTCAGCCAATTTTTGTGGTTTTACAATTTTTTTAAAATGTTTGTATTTTCCCTTCCCAATTACTCTGTGAAAGGTCCACACAAAATAGAGAAATTGACTACACACATGGTGCTATCAAATGCACAGTGTAATATTTTCCCCTCTTCACTGCTTTACAGTGATATAGTTCAGGATCACCCCAATAGTCAGATATGCCCCTTTACAATTAAAAATATAGAAATGTAGGGTTTTAAGGGATCTCAAACAGGCATTTTCCTAATCTGTTTTTAAAGATCTCCAATGACAAGGACTCTGCTGCCTCCCTACTAGGTAAGGCCCCTGCTCTGTATCAATAAATCTGACAGAGTAAGACAACAACATTCCCATACGTAAATCTGAAAGTTCACTAATGAATGAATAAGAAGGCTGCTTGAATGCAGAATCACTCATGTAAAAACAGACCAAAGGAAAGAAAGAGGGACTTGTCTTCTACTCCTGCCATCTATCAGTCCTGCACACATTGCAAACACACAAGCCACAACTATTTTCAATTGTCTAGAATAAAGGGTGGATAAAATTCCATGAATTTTAAGGGAAAAAAAATAGTTTTAAAAATGTAATTCATCAATAAAATACTAAATTTCTCATTTAAAAATAACAGTTACAATTCAATTTTATTGTAAACATGCCACACATACACTTGCAGTCTCATAAAAATGATTTAATGGCTCTAGTCTGTCCAGCCTAACAACCAGCTCTTGCTTTTTGAAAGTTCTGGGCTTTCAATTTCTGTTAGTCTGCTGAGAAACATGTGCAAAGACAGACACAGGCTGCATAGGATTGTTTTTGTTCTGTGCTAATGTGGTGGTGAACCCAGGCCAAGTTAAGACACTGTCTAAAGATAGAAGCAGCATAGAAAGGAACATGGGAGTGGATGTAAAGGAAAAAGGAAGACATTATTCAGCACATACATAGCTTTCTACAGTCTCTACACTTTTGCCACAAAAAAACTTCTTAGCTTCCGGGTGTAAGAGAGACCGTAACTGGGAAGAAATTTGAAGAAATTTGTTCCCTGGGTAAAAAAGGAAAATGTGTCAAGTGTATGCAGTGCAAGATGACGATGCAGCATCTAGCTGTAAGAATGAAACATCATAAGGAAAACTGCTTATTGGGAGAAAATGATGTGGACGAAGATGTGGCTATGTCCGAAGAACAATGTGGATCAATTATGCAATGCATCATTCTTCAAGACTGTCTTTTAGTACAAGTGTGATTTAACAAGTAAATTCCCAAGCGGTTTGCTATGTTGGATGTTGCTAGAAAAAAGTTTAGCCTACCTAATCTTTATGGCTTGATTAGTTAACTAGGTTTAGAACCTTATCACATACGGAAAGCTACAGTAAGATAAATCTAGAGTTGCCAGTGGTCACAAAGTGTCATTTTTTTATTTTATATTACATGCCCCTTATTTTGGAACATCATGGTCACAGACCATAATGCTGATGCCATAAGTGTTTTCCTATTTTACTTCTGCATAACTCAGCTTTCCCAAAGGAACCCCATCATATAGTTATTTTAAGTAGGGCTTATTCCAAAATTAAATCACTTTAAGCAGAGTCTTGGTTGGCAGTGAGCCAGCTCCCCACAAGCATTGGCTCCCACCTGCTCCCCCGCAGCATCCCCTGGGAGCCAGCTCCCCCACGTGGACAAAGAGCCTGTATGTAACCATGAAGGTTAATCCATGAACCCAGGCTCATCAGTTAACCATGTACACGGTTACACTTTCACATCCCTAGTTCTTACTATTCCTAACGTACTGCTACTGCATCTACAGCTTGACACAGGTAATAAGTATTATGTGCAATCTTAAAAAAAAAAATTACACAAATTATACCCTCTTAGATGTTGTAAAAAATGCTGTAAGTTAGCATGTTTTAGTGATCAGATTTGCACCATTGTTTGAAAAAAAAAGTGAAGATGTATCAGTGGGAAACTTGATTTACATCAATGTGGGGTTTTTTAATCAATCCACCCTGCTAGAATAGGCTTTACATTCTGGAATGTTTCCCAAACGACAATGCAATTGTCCACTTTTCCTCACTACAATGTTCATACTTGGCCATATACAATTAGAGCTAACAGGATTTGATTTACTTCCTTTGCCACTGGTAAATGTCAATTTCACCTGCCACAGAAATCAGCAACAACAAAACATCCCATCAACAGCTGGCAAGTGCACCTGCAGGAATCTGACTTCACTGGCTCCACAGCTGTGCAGAGAGCTCTCTGCAGCCCTGGTGACTCATTCCCTGGCAAGGAGTACAGGGGTCATCCCTGGGCAGGAGCCATTCAGTAGCTGGATGGCATCACCCCGTAGTGGGGGACTCCTCCTCCTTACGGCTCTGGCAGAAGATCTCTGCTTTGCCAAGCCAGGATCATAGCCTCTCCTGCACCTTGTGCCCTCATCTCAGACCTCTCAACCACATAAGGAGCCCCTTGCAGCCTTGCTGGCAGGGCTACCCTAGCCCCACTCCCCCTTTGTTTCCCCACAAACATAAACATTAAAATAGTTAAAAAATAAAAGCTTAAAAAAAATCAACATTAAATGTCAAACATACACAAAAAAGATTGAATTTTGCTGTGCTTACACCGTAATGGTGCATTAACTGTTTTGTAATGCTGGAGTTACGTTTGTGCAGTGCTGCCCTCATGTGCTCTGTTCCTGTAAACAATTATGTACATTTCTAAAAACAGGACAGGAGCCCACCAAAAGCCACTTCTCTCCCCCCTCCATGGCTGTTCCCCTTCTGCTTTTTTTTTTAAAATCCAATCCTGTATTTGTTTTCATCTTTCTGTTCCTTCGGCAGTTTTAGCAAAATTCTTTGAAGGAACAGCCTAAGATATTCTTTTGCTCTCCTTTTGCATGCAGGTCCTGAGTAGATCTCCAGGGTAGTCAGGGTTGAATTTACACTTACTGTGCCCCTAGGCATAGTACCTTTGCCCTCCCCCCTACAGATGGCCTTCAAGTTTTCTGTAAGGGGAGGGAAGGGAAGGGAAGGGAAGGGGGAGAGAGAGAGAGAGAGGGAGAGAAGGAAGGAAGGAAGGAAAAAAAAAAAACTTTAACCCACTTAATTTTTAGGCACCTCTGGAACCCTGGTGCTCCTCCACATGTGCCTACTGTACTCAATTGGAAATCCAGCCCTGAAGGCATTCACTTTATTTTTGGATACAATTCTGTTTTTATCTGATTTATATTCAAAATTAAAACAGTGTTTCTCAAAGTGGTGCGTGGACCCATTCTGAGAAAGCTGCTACCGGGCCGCTCTTATTTGTTTACCTCCGGGCTCTGCAGCCACAGAGCCTCACAGCTCCCATTGGTTGCAGTTTGCCATTTTCGGCCAAGGGGAGATGCAGGAAGCAACAGCCCGGGTCACGTTGCTTCCCTCAGGTCCCCTTGACTGCAAACGGAGAACCACAGCCAATGGGAGCCTTCTGTGGCTGCAGAGCCAGTACGTAAACAAATCGGAGCAGCCCTCTAGCAGCTCTCTCCTAGTGGGTCCAGGGAACACTTTGAGAAATACTGAATTAAACACACAAAAATCTTCAGCTCCAGCACACAGCATGGCTCTCATATCTACACAGACCACACCAGTGTTTCATTAAAATAGCCTGTCTCCAGAACATGAACATAAACTCCCTTCTGGATGGCTGCATGGGCACATTCCCCATCCTTCATGCCCCCAAGTGGAGAGCAAGGTACATTTTAAATGCAGCTCTACTTTTGTTTGTCTCTATACAGACTGGTCCCAAATCAGCAACCGCTTCATACACGGATTTTCAACTGAATGCCATAAGACTTCTGCATACAGAGCTGACACAGTATTGGGCCCTGACTAGCCTCAGAAGTTAAATAGTACTAAAAAATTCCATGCCTGCTTGATATATTATATACAAGATTACCCAAGCCCAGAAAGTCTTCAAGCGAAACCATACCTTGAAACAGCCAAGTAGAATATTCCCAAAGACATTAATGAAATTCCAATGTGGAATGAAACCCCTACAGCACCGTATTCTTTAAAAACTTTTTTCAGCTGCTGGGATTTGTTGGGTTTCTTCTCATCCTCATCACTTGGATCTGTGATCTCCTTTCCAGGGGATCTACTTGTGTCCTATACAAAAAGAAAATGATGATTTAGAATGAACACTCACATGACACACAGTGTCCAGGTTCCAGTTAATTGATCACGCTTCTTGTTGAGAAACAAAACAGAACACAAGATTCTACTCCGTGCTGTTCTCAGCTTCTTTAGATAGTGGGGCAAACAGAGATGCATAGGATCAGGTGTAATTTACTCTATGAAAGAATGGCCACTTGAGCCATTAACCCAGTCTTAAGGGGTGCATTGAGCTCTGTGTGGACCCAGCGCTGGGGCAAAGTTTTCCATTACAAAAACCACAGACAATATGATCCTGAAACTGACTCAGTTCAGGTAGAGCTCCATCCACACAGTCACTTGTAGAATAGGATTCTTAGTTTTCACTAGAGTAATTCAGCTTTGTACCTCAGGTCTCAGCCACCTGACACAGATCCTTAAAGAGCACTGTATCACCAAGTGACTGATAACCCAGAAAGCACATTTGACAGAAGTCAGCTTAAAATAACCCTGAATAAGGCTCAACATTTATAAGCTCTTATAAATCACGTTCTGTGCATTAGCAACAAAAAGAGAAGGAATGTGGGGATTATTAACATAGCTTGGTAGAAACAAGCAGCACAGTTCTCTTGTAGTAAAAATGCCGCTCCAGCGGCAGCAGCAGCAGCAGCAAATGCAGATACACTAGCACTGGTCTGGCAGCCTGATCTCACAAAAAGATTTCTGTCATAACCGTTGGGGAACCCACTTCATTTCTCTTGGCATTTCTATAACAGAATAAGGTTTAAAAATAGAACTGTCATATTAAAAGTATGTTTCAAAGCAGCCAAATACTAACCGGGCACACAAAGCAGTTGGTATGCCTCTGCTTCTAAATCTGACACAGTCATGCCTTAACCCCGGAGGAAATATTGGCCAAGGCAAAAGGGAAAACTTTGGGACCCAGACAACTGGACAGACAAAAGGATTCCCTTCTCTTTGATTTATATAAGTAGTGATGCTCGTCTGCTACCCACTGAGATTGGAGCCCACTATTTATCTACAGCAGAGACAGTGCCACTTGATGCTTCCCACCAGTCAATGTTTCTCAAATCCTGACCTGAACAGAGGGGAAAGTATTTCAGTTTCCTTTGCCCATTCCGTCTTTTCATTCTCTCAGACTGCCAATAAGTGGGCTCTGCTAAGCTCCACATTCTACTGTATATTCTTTCAATTTACAGTGCTAAAGGGCATCTCATACAGTCTGGAAGGGATTCTTAGTATCTCTAGGTTCATTTTATCAAAGCCAGCTCGGCAAAATGAAAATCACAGGATCTAAGATTTAGTATGTTCCTGTAGTGCAAGTGGCTTCTATTTCTTTCAATTTTGCTCTTACTAATCTAGGGCACTAGGCTATATTGAGGCAGTTTTTGAACCAGTATTGGCAGTGAGGAAGAGATTAAGCCATGTTAGCCACTGTTTATTATCAATATCCAGTATGGTCATGCCCAGTATTCTACTTTTAGTAAAGAAAGCTGAGAGAACAATTTTTTTCTATAACTTCTCTGCTAGAAAGTCTACATACGTGGGGGAATAGTCCTGTTATTATGAGACATTTTCCTGGCTTTTATACTACCCTGATAAAATGGGTTAGTGAAAGGATCTGAGTCCCTGCTCCCGCTTCTTTTACCAACAGGCCTCCCCTTCCATTCTCCTGTGTGGAAGAGTCCTCATAACCACAACAAAGCTGGCCCCAGGATTTCTGGGGACTCAACCCCATGTTACTCTGCTCTGTGGCATGGAGTCTTCACAAACTGTCTCTGAGATGTAAGGGCAGTTCACAATCTGTTCCTTTTAGGCCCCAGGCCTCCTGAGGCCCTGGCTGTACCACAAGGATGCTGGAATTCAGATACTTGCTCTGGGTGGTAGAACTATTCTCCCAAATGTCAGACCCTCCCCCGCCCCAGTCTGGCCTGCAAGGCCTCTTGGGTGGTTTAGTCGCCCTGTGCTAGGCCTCTCTCCAAGGATCCCCCCTGCTGCTCAACACCCACAGCTCCAGCATGCTCCAGCTCTATTCTCTGCTACTCTGCCTCCAGCTCCTGGGCTGCTTCTCTGACCCCTCTGGCTCTGTGGCTGCAACCCTGCTCCCAGCATGAATCTGCTCCAGGGCTGTGTGTCTGGCTTTCTCTGGCTGGCATAGCTCTGTTCCCCAGCTGAGCTCAGGCACATGCCTGCTTAGCTCAGCCCCACTCTGTCTGACCCAGAAAATTTCACTTTGCAAAGAGAATGCGACTCTTCTCAGTCTCCTCACTCCCTGATTGACAGGGTGGGTAGGCCAATAAGACTGACCCAGAACATTGGCATCTTCCCATTGTCAATGGGCTGTCAGTCTCAGGATACTGATTTCTCAAAGACCCTTCCTTTTGATACTGGGAGCTAACCAACCAACCCATCTCCCCAAGTTTTAGTAAGGGGCTTACAGCCCCCTTTCATCTATTTTTCTTGGTCCCAGGGAGTCCTGTTAGACCAGAAATCAACCCACCAGAACAAAGGCACTCAATCCTGGTCATATCTCTGATTGATGAATTGGGGCCGCACTGAGGGCAGATCCATATTCATGAAATTTTATTTCAGATTATTATTCTGAGACAAGAAAATTGAGTGTTTACTTTTAGAATCCATCCCGCAGAAATGCAATGAATTAAAAAAATCATGAGACACAAGCATCTGTAGTTATATGTTCCTTAGCAATGCCTATAAGAAAAACAAACTGTATTAAGAATATGAAAGGGTCTTGAAGAAGGGTCTGAAATAAGATTGTTATATCTAATAAAAGAAAAATACATATGGCTAATAACATGCAGATTGTGGGTGGTCTGAGGCAGAAGAGAAAGAAGCTTGTGTCAAGAGCTTAAGTAATGGTCATTGGCTCTCATTCAGTTCTCAAGGCATTGCTATCTGCAGCATTTCTGGTTAAAACAGAAAAATTAAATCCATCATTTCCTATTTTTCAGAGGCACTGCACACTGGAACCCCCATTGATTGGTCCTTACTGATGAAAAGCACCTCTGAAAAACCAAAGAGATGTGTTATTTATGGTTTATAACTAACTAGGCCATAAAAATTAACCTGGAGCTGAACCTTCACATTTAGCAATCCTGGCACAAACAAGTTTAAAAAAAAAAAAAAAACCCCAACACACGAACACCAAAAGAGAGAGAGAGAAAAATTCCAGACACTCACATACATTTCACACAAATTATGGAATTTTAAAACATTGCACATTTTGTTCGAACACGCTCATGTTGTATTTCTAACCAAGGCCACTCCTATATTTTTTAAAGTTACATGTACTGAACACTGAAAATATAGGTGCAGCTAACTAAGGAGCACTTCCATACTCTGTCTTTGAACTGAAATAAGGAAGAGGCCTTTAGTCCCCAAGCTCAGTACAGTTTTAATTGCCCTACCCAGTTTTAAGTATCCTAAGTGACTGGGCCTTTTTCATACATCTTGGGGAAATTATTCTGCAGGCTAACTGACATCACTGTCTGGAACATTCAGCCTAAACTTTCCAATTGAATGTCATCCATTTTCTCTTGTTTCTTAATAGTCACTACTGGGGTACTTGCAATCTTCTATAAAATTCAAAGTATGCAGTCAGCATATTGCAGGAAATGAGATTCCTTCTCCAGTATTTAGTAAGAATATATGTGCGCACACTCCCCCACCCAACTCTCTTCTCTGCTTCAACACCTTTTGTTCCTAAAACCTATCATACAAAAACTTCAGGAGCTTGACAACAAGTAATGTTTTTAGCCAGTGTGTGCAGACTAGGACACAATTCTTCTTAAAAAGGAAGTTGTTTTTAAACTACCTCTTAAAAATGTGTCTAGTCTGCGCAAGTTGGCAGCTATTACAACAATATAACTAGAAAGATTTGAAAAAACAACAAACAACTTCACATGGGATGGAATAAGAATATTTCCCTCCCTGTACCTTGCTGTGAAGCCATCTCCCCAAAGGAGACTCCTTGGCACCTTTATTCCCTCAATAAACTTTTACGATGGTGCAGAAAATTAACCCATTTGGGTCAGAAAGGGTGTATCTACATGGCATCGTTATTTCAAGATAACTAGTGTTATTTCAAAATAACAATGTGAGCGTCTACACCCGTGGTCCCCAACGCGGTGCCCGCGGGCGCCATGGCGCCCGCCGGGGGATTTCTGGGCGCCCGCTGAAACATCTGGGTTGGCCCTGCCCCCGGCGCGCGGCACACGCATGGTGCCGGCTCCAGGCCCGGGACGCATGGGCGGCCCCTCCCCTGGTCCTGCAGCACATGCGCAGGGCCGGCCCGGCCCCAGCCCTGGCCCCAGGGCACATGTGCGGTGCCGG